TAGGCAGGTCGACATTGCAAATGAGGCAGGGATTTAAATATCCCATGCCTAATTTGCATAAAAATGGCCACTGTGTTTTGCTGACTCAGCACTTTGTCGGCAAAAAGCGGAAGTCTAGAGGGGGACTGTCAAGAAAGAAAGCCTTTTTTGACAGATCCTGTAAACCCCCTTTCAGGAGGCATAAGGGATCTATCAAAAAAGGCATTCTTTCTTGACAGATCCCCCTTTAAACTGCTGATTTTTGCCGACTAAGTGCTGTGTCAGCAAAACGCATTGGCCATTTTTATGCAAATTAGGCACGGCATATTTAAATCCCTGCCTCATTTGCAATGTTGACCTGCCTAATCTGCATCCCTCTGCCGACAGCGGGATGCAGTCTAGACACACCCTTTGTATGAATAAAAGCAAGCTTCTTTGTGCAATATATGATTTTCATTCAGCTGTACCAACATACATATTGAACAGAGAGGTACATGAATTGTAAACTTAAAGTGACTTTAAAGCAATTCACAAGCTGCTCATGTTACAGCAATTTTCCAATATTCCTCCAATTCCCTAGCGATTTCTTTTGACAGCATAGGTACTAGACTCAGAGCAATGTACTATACTTGTGATCAATTTGAAAAAAATTACGGTACACTTATAGAAAAGTTTACCTACTCCATTGATAGATCTTATAACAATCATCAACATAGTCTGACTATAAATCTGTTTCTGTCACCTGAAATAGAATGTGCCATAATGAGTACAATAACATGCAGATCAAAACACCATGCATGTCTACTGTCAACACTCAACATTATTATAATACCCCACTTGGGAGAGAGAGGCTGTGTCATAGCAAAAGGCTAACAGTGTTTTTTATTATGAATTGTTAGCATACCCATCGCATCTTCTAATTTATTTAAAGTAGAGGACAGGTTCTTCCCTGGATAAATGACACTCATAAGTATTTACTGAGAATAATTTTAAAGAGTTCACACGATTAAAAGGCGTATAGATTAAAAGGCTTATACCCCCCCCCCCCCCCCCCCCTTTCTTTAGTGATATCCCTCCACATTAAATATAGCCAGGTGACCCAATGGAAGTTCTCTTTCCTTACTGCCATCCCTTTACAAGTTCAGCAAAGTATGCACCTTTTAGGACTAGTTACTTTGATATATCCCCCGTGTTCCCACCAGCCTCAGCACCCCTTCTACTTAGGAAACTAAAACTTCCAGCAGCTACATCTTCCAGGAGAGAAAGGGAAGACAAACCAGTAGCACTAGTTCCGCAGGCCCACATGAAAGGGGCATAAAGATTTTTCTATATCCCTCTCATCGCTCTCTCCCCTGAGCTTAGATCCCTGGACTGCAAAGCGGCTTTCTCAGTTCACATCCTTTCCCCCATTTTCTTATCTTAGGGGAGGGGTTGCAAGAGGGGGAGCAGAAGTTATGGAATGGACATGTCCATCTATGGGTGGACAAGAACAGTTCTGTGACACTGTGTGTGAGATGAGAAGGAGACAGGGTGGACAGATATGTGTGTGTGGAGATGGGAACTAGAGCAAAGAAATAAGTATAAACATGAAGACAGGATGGGTAAAAGGGCAGAAGAGTGAACACGGCTACGTAGGAATGGAAGGAGGACACGGATAGGTATATATATATATATGAGGATAGATTGCAAGGAGTGTGTGCGTGTGCCTGCCAGTATGTGGGAGGAGGGGTATTTTAGCATGTGAGTGTTATTACATGTAATACATGTGATGGAGTGCTGGTGCAGAAGCTTTCGAGAGCCTCAGAAACATGTTTGTGTGTGTGGAGGAAGCACAGATAAATGGTTGTGCAGGGAACTTCTCCCATTGGCACTTCTTAATATTTATATGTGGTTAATTAAATGTTCAAGGGAGTTATCAAGGTAAGGACAGGTTTAAATTTAAACAAAATTATTATAAAATTTTTCTCTTGTTGATTCTATATTTGAGCAGTATGGATCTGGAAATCCTCATTCTGGGAGATAAAAATTCACTCTTATGGCAAGTAATGCTGAATTATAGATTTCAAACTGTAGCTGAGACTTGGAGATCCACAATAACAATCCCGCAAAGTAGAAAATAGCCCTTTTTAATTGTAATATCTCTCACGTATATTTCTTACCAAGCACAAAAGGGGGCAAAAAGAGGGGACTAAACATCTAATATAAACAAAGCGTTGCAAGCAAAGGAGTACACGATTATGTGACAACCACATTCAAAACATATATAAATACAGATTATGCAAAATATTACAAAAACAAATCAACAATGAAGACCACCTATTTCCCACAAACTATATGGAAATATGTTCTCAGTTACATCAACATTTATGAAAGATAAATTAACCAAAAAAATACTTCCAATCATTTTCAATGCAGAGCTTCATATATTAATATTACTTTTGATGTTTTGCATCACTACATTAGGTTTTATTAAACTCTACAATTTTATTGTGCATGTGGAATACAAGATTATAAATAATAAAGTATGCAGAGTAAGAAAAGATAATAGGAAACATTTCATTCTAAAAACATAATGGAGGTTTGTAGCATAAATGTCAATATTATTCATAAGGTATCTGAGTCCACGGGCTAATGTCATTATGTAGATTGTTTATATTTGAAATTTTGTATAGCATCCACTGACTGGAGCTGTTTCACTGAGGAATGTTCTTAAATTTATTATAAAGTTAGTAATTGACTATTACATGTTAGACATGTCTCACCCATGACCTCTGTAAATTAACTGTCTCCTTTGATCTCTGGGGGTATGTCTACACTACAAAGTTAGTTCGAACTAACGGACGTTAGTTTGAACTAACTTTGATAGGCGCTACACTAGCGCTCCGTTAGTTTGAACTTAATTCGAACTAACGGAGCGCTTAGTTCGAACTAGGTAAACCTCATTTTACGAGGATTAAGCCTAGTTCGAACTAGCTAGTTCGAAGTAAGGGCTGTGTAGACTCTTAATTCGAACTAGTGGGAGGCTAATGCTTCCCAGGTTTCCCTGGTGGCCACTCTGGCCAACACCAGGGAAACTCTATTGCCCCCCTCCTGGCCCCGGAGCCCTTAAAGGGCCACGGGCTGGCTACATAGTTTGTGCCAGTTGCAAGGCTGCCAGCACCCGTGCCAGCAGACCCTGCACCTGCCACACCATGAGCCAGCCACCCGAGGACACCCAGCCCTCCACTGCTCCCCAGGACCAGCCTGGCGGCTCCCAGGAGCCTGCCCGGG